TCCCCAATGACTTTTATGTAGAAGGAAATGCAACAGGCTAAACTGGAATTTGAACTCAATATGCAAATTTCACTTCCATGCCTATTACAATACCCACACATCCTAAGAGCGAAATAGCAAAGTTAATAATAGTAGTAGTAGTAGTTATAATAATAATTTTAGTAATAATAACACAGATAGGACCTGTAACAATTTTATGGGACTTTATAATATACACAGAACAATCAAAGCTAATCACCCAGACATTGTGATCAAAGACCATAAAAACAGAATGTGCTTTCTTATTGATATGGCAGTCACTGCAGATTGTAATGTTAATAGTTGTTAGTAGTAGTAGTAATAATAATAATAATAATAGTAGTAATAATGACAATGATGATAATAATAGGAATTGAGACCAAGAGTATAGACCTCCAGAAAACTGCTACCATTTACTGTGAGGTTTTTTTGAAAAAGTTGAGTTGTGGGAGTCTTCTTGACATGATGTCAAGAAGACTCCCCCAACTCAACTTAAGAACAGAATTTTCAGTAATTACACCAATAATAATAAGTTTGGCTTTAAATACATTGCTTTTTTTCATTTTTTTTTTTTTTTTTTTTTTAATTTTGTTAACACCATACCATAAAAATGGAATTTCTATCAAGTATGTCACTGTGACACACCAATTGAAAAAAAAAAAAATTTAACTTAGGTTTTTCCAAACTTCTTTTCCTATCTATCCTTTATTCAATTTCCATTTTCTTTACCTTTTTTTTTTTTTTTAAATAAAAGTCCAATCCTTTGCCTTTCTCTCTACTTTTTTAACGCCTACTTTGCTTCAGTTTTCTATTTTTTTTTTTTTTTTATAAACGTTACTATTTCTGTCTTTTATAAAAAAAAAAAAATATGTTGGGAAAATGGAGCAAAGCAGAAGTTAAAAAAAAAAATAAATAAAAAACTAAATTTTCAAATAATTTACAATAAATAAAAAAAATTTAGGAAAATGGAACAAAATATAAGTTTAAAAAAAAAAAAAAAAAAAAAAAATATAAAGTTAAGACTTTATTACGAATGAAAAAAAACGTAAAACAGAAAGGAAGGAAAAAAAATAGGAAAAGATCACAAGAATTACGATCCACGGAGAAAAATCTCCCAGAGTGACAGCAAGGGAGGTAAGATACAAGGGAAGACATAACTTGAATCAAAATGATTAGTCTTTTGAACAAGTAGTAAATAATAAGTAAATATAGAGAAGTTTTACTCTGAAGGTTGTAAAGAAAAATAAAGTTGAAAACAAAAAACTAAAATTGGAAGTAAATTTAATTTGGACGGAAAGGGAGTATAATGACTACACAAGTCTGCAGCAGTTTATATTTTCTTCCCCTCCCAGATATATATTTATCCGAGGTCATTATTGAACAAGCAGAATGACTACAAGCTTTGGACAGCTGCTCCAGGGCTCCAGAGACTTTCAATGAAAAAAAGTGGGGCAGTGATCGTATTTGGAGGAGTTAACCGCAGGAGCAACTTCATTTCTCACAAATAAAGCTAGAGGTGGGGGTGGAAATATATTTCCTTTGGTCCAAGATTAAACAAGAGTATAAGCCATAAAAATGTTGTGGTGCACTGCAAGTTGGTGATTGGGTGGGTGCGGTTGGCAGAGAACTGTGAGAACATTAGAAAGGCCATTGATTTCTGCATGACCAAATCCATAGCCTGTTGAAAATGCCACTCTAACCTCAAAGCAGATAGAAACAATTCTTTGTTTCAGAGACTCTTTGATAGTTCCACCATCCAATTACCAAATTTTTCATTAGACATAACTATAGAATATATTAAAGATCATACTTTTATACAACCTTGTGCCATATCAAATTAGGTTTAGCAAATTACTACGTGTGAATGGGCACTTCAATATGGTGTAATGGTTAGCAAGCTTTTCTCGCTAGATGAATTAGGACCGAGTAGTGAATGTGATCCTCACTGGGTGCTCCATGCTTACAACCTTGTGCCACATCTAAGCTATACTGAGTAAATCACTATAGAGCAATGATATGGTGTAATGGTTAGCAAACATGTCCCACTAAATCAATTACAACTGTTGAGGGAGTTCAATCCTTACTGAGTGCTCCATACTTGCAACTTTGTGCCACATCTAAGCTACGCATATTAAATTATCATTTTTGGGCATTTCAACTTGGTGCAATGGTTAGCAAGCTTGTATTACTTGAACAATTACAACTGACTACTGAGTTTGATCCATACTGTTGGCATTGTGCCACATCCATGCTACACTTAATAAATCATTTAATACTTACCCCTGGCACCAGCTGGGGAAATTTGAAATTAATATTAGCTCAAGCTCCCAGGGGTGAGGCAGAATGAATTGCCTCAAGCAGTACTTCTTCAGGAGGTGGCCTGAGGCATTTCCAAAAATAGGAAAGTACTGAGGCGGCATGAGCAATTTTTGAAGGGCTTCCCACATTCAACTTTAACCTTGTGTCATATTCTGTAACGATGTGGTTGCACAGATAGATACCTACTTTTACTCGGCCTTCAGTATGGGATCAGAGTATAGTATCCGTTCTTCACCTCTCTGCCGTATTTCTATCTTCAAACAGCTCAGGAAAAAGTTTTATGCAATCCCAACCCTGTGACAACGCCACCCTCATTGTACTAAAGAGGGAGGAATTCAATAAAGATTCTTTCCATACTGTCAAGTTGAGTAATTTAGAGGACAATATTGTTAAAAAATGTCAGAAATTATGGTTCTCCACAACTTCCTGTTCTTTGTAGCTCTTAGCAATGTTTGTCTTTTTGCTATCTCTCCTAATCCCTGTTCAGCCAACCATTCAAACGAGTTTATTAGGTAGGTTATTTACTGCTTTCCTGTCCCACTTGAATTCAATATGTTCTATGAGTATCAAATTTTCTAAGCCTTCTTTCCATATGTGCACTAGAAATTTTAACTACCTCTTTCTGATTCTGAGTATAAGTGTGCTTTTTTCTTTATTTTCTGTAAAAGTTTGTCATTGCTCACATGGTATTCTCAGCATCCTTCTGTAGAAGCATATTTCTGTTGTTTCAAGTCTCTTCATCTATGGGCAGGCTGTCTAACATTCACGGCCACATAAAAGTACCGATATTATATAATAATCTAGTCTTCTTTAATTTTTTTTTTTAAATGCTTTTGTAGACTTACTGAAATTTCCATCAATATTTAATGGTATGTTCTGCTATGTTCCACATAATATATTTAACATTAAGTAGAGGACATTTTCATTTGTGAAAAATTTCTGGTGTTTATAAATAAAAGAAATAAAAAAAATCAAAAAAAAAAAAAAAAAATCAGACTCTAAAATTTTATCAAGAGTAGGTTTCCTTCTATTTTATTAAAATATCCTCAAAGTTTGCCATAAGCAACTTAGCATCGATTTAAACATAAATTCAATGTGTTATCAAAGTTACTTGATATTGCAGTTAACTTTGATAATGGCAAAAATAAAAAAATATGTGTAGTATATGATCCAACTGTAAATTACCTATGATATGGTTGTAGGCAGGATGTTATTAAAACAAAAAATGGTGACCATAGGAAGCTATGAAAAGCTAACAAAAGTGCCAACCCCCCCCCCCCAAAAAAAAACAACATACCTATCAAAGTTACCGAACCCAACAATACAGTAAACTGTTCCCATTCCTGCCATTTATGCTAGGAAAGATCTATTGGCCAATTCTTTCTAATTAATACATCCTTGAGGTGTGAGTTTCATTTTATCTCCTTAACAGAGGTCAGGATTTTTTACTGATTGATGCAGAAATTGAACTTACAACTACAGTCTACTTCAACACTTATATACTTCTAATATCTAAACATAAACTCCAAAATTTTATTTACTGTTTATTTCTTTTTTTACCCCCCTCTCAATAGGAGTAGATAGGTTCGCTTATCATCCAATTCACACTCCTCCCCGGTCTTTTGAACAGGAGTACAGGTTTATCCTTTGTTTCCTGTTTAGGATTGGGTTTCCAGTTCCTTCTAAAGTCTTTTCAGTCTCTTACACTCACAATAGACCCTTGAATCTTAGGGATATTAAAAATAAAACTGCTTTCAGCTGACTACACCCAACTCACATGATTTACAGTGAGGCAAAGAGCATCATTTGTTAGCTAATTCTACTTTAACAAACCATCAGGATGGCCTTAATTAAGAACAATTATACACTATTCTCTTAGAATGAGTGAGGGAAGGTATCTGGTTGTCAAATACAGGTTCCTGAAATAGAAAAGCATCTGAATCTACAATGGTAGGTGTGAAAAACAGGTTTAAATATTTTAAACAACTTTGACATTCATAAAGCCTTCTCATACAATCACCATAGTTAAGCAATCTTGAGCCTGGTCAGTAGCCAGAAGGTGCTGTAAGCTTGGATGTGCAGGTAGTGTAATGGGTAGTGGCTCATAACCGGAAATCAGAGCCCCACATTCCAATTCCAGTTGTGTGTATTATATTCACTTATGTGCAAATATCCATGGGAAAGGTATGACTCCACCTCTTCTCCCCACCCACCAGCCAGCCAGGAGTGAAATAGTAGGACTTTTATAAGAAAATCAGTGTTATCTTAAACAAAATAAAACTTTTTTTTCAATCAAAAAATATTTTCTGGTTTTAAATAACCTGACAAAGGTTGATAAGCCGTAAAAAATAAATCAATCTACCAACATTTATATATCCAATGGGAGAAATGAATTCAGGATGACAGGATCTATTTTTTTTTTTTTTTTTTTAATGGATTGATTTCTACGGCTTATAAACCTTTTGCAGGTTATTTAAAACTAGAAAATAGTTTTAGGTTGTAACAATTTTTTTTTATAAGTCTTACTAATTAACCCATAGCTGGAGAGAGAAGCGGTGGATTCATACGTTTCTCAAGGGTATTTGCACATAAGTGAATACAAAAAGAACTCAACTGGAATTGGAACTTGGCTCTCCAGTTAACACTTCCGAGTCATTATCCATTACACCACGTGCTATTCCCAAGTTGTCACCCATCCAGCTACTAACCATGCTCATTGTTGCTTAACTTCATTGATTGTACAGGAACAAGTGTTTCAATGTGGAGTGGTTGTAAGCCTGACATAGTTGGTTATTCTTCTAAATCCAGGTTAAGATAAAACAAAAAAAAAAAAAAAAAACCATACACAAACACAAAGGAGGAGTTGATTTATGTACTTACATCATCTGCTGAATTTCAGTTGTAAACCAGTGTGTAGGAGTAATTTTGGTCCCTGCTGAAGGGGACATTTGGACATTGTGTACATCTTTGGAACTCATCTGAGAACAAAAAAAAAAAATCAATAAGAAACCAATCATAGATATCTATGGACTCTGTAGATGAGTAGAAATTGTGAAGAGTTATTTTACAATAAATGATTAAAATGCATTCATTAAATAAGAAAACAAAATAATGAGTTAAGAGAAAGTAAAAAATGAGAATAACAAACTTCTTCAAATAAGAGTTTCCATAAAAGGCATGTAAAGTTACTTATAAATAAATAAAAATGGAGAAAGGAGGGGGAAATGATTAACAAAGAATTTTCCTGATTAGAAAAAAGAAGGAAGAGGGGCACAGGCAAAAAAAAAACTGAGGAAGAGGGAGCGACAGGCAGGTTAGAAAAAAGAAGGAAGAGGGAGCGACAGGCAGGTTAGAAAAAAGAAGAAAGAGGGAGTGACAGAGAAATTAGAAAAAGGAGAGAGAAGAGGGAGTGACAGACATAAGAGGGGAGTGAGTGAGAGAAGGTAAGTGAGAGATAAAGAGTGGGAAGAGGGAGTGGAAGACAGATAATAAAAAAGAGGAGACAGAAAAAGAAGAGAACAAGTACCAGACAGAAAAGAAAAAAAAAAAAGCTTGGCTAAGACAGAAGAGAGTGTATGTATGTGGTAATTGGAACAGAAAAAAAAAGGAAGAAATGATAGCAAGAACAACAACAACAAAAAATGAGATAGAAGAGATTTACAGAGTTAGTGAAAGGAAGAGGCGGGTAAGAAAACAAAATTGCACACAATGCAGGTTTCTCAAAGCCCAAATCTTTCATGCTGGTGCTTAAGTGCATTTCAGTCAAGATGCTGGCTTCTTCAGCCGAAGGATACCTAAGAACCTTGTGCAGGAGCAAAAATATATTCAACTGTTTTTGTGGTTGTCCACTTGCATGTTTAATTGATTTTGCTTATACTCAAGCCGAACTTGAATAGGAGAACATTATTCTTGCTCAATGTTAATAACCACAGCCTCATAAAAAGGACTTGCTTAAATTATATTTTATAAGTCCCTTCATCATGCCCACACCACATGCTAATAAAAAAATGAAGCTGAGGGGCACAATATGGCCATTTGCCTTAGCCCCCATAGACAATGGTATGACTGAGAAATCTTGTTTTTATTCTAGCACTGTGCATATGTGTTATTATATTGCATCATCTTTTAAATCATTTCCAGATTGGTATTAAATTTATTGAATGCAAATAAAGCCCTGTTATCTTCTTTTAAGACATACTTCAATGATCAATTACAAATTCAATTATGGCAATCATTTCCTTTATTTTCCTCAGAATATGAAAGGGTTTAATATCTTGGTCATAAATTCTTTGGCTTTTGAAGCAAAAAGAATACTTTGTTTTCTCTTTAACTAGCATCTCAGATTTGGTCACTTTCACACCGCCATAATGTAGCTTCCCTGTGCCTTTTCTATAAATACTTTTATGGTAATTGTTCTGATGAACTTTCCTCTATGGTATCTAGTCTTCATGAATTTAAATTAAGTACTAAATTGGTGGCAAGGTTTTATTTTACAGTTGAAATGGCTAGATGTAACCGAAAGTTCTATGTTAACAGCTTCTATAGCACTTCTCACTTGTGGCACTCTTCCAGCGTCTTGCTTCCCAGTTAACTTTGATCTTCAAAAATTTAAATACAATGTTAATCATTATTTTCTGTCTTCTTAATTCTTGTTCTTTTATTGTTCTCTCTCCTTAATTGTGCTTTTTCCTTATATTCCCTAACACATAATAACCCCTTGTGTCATAGTGGATTTATTGCCTTGCTTGAAAAAAACTTCATTATTAGTATAGAGTATATAATTCCTATTCTTTTATTCTTCTCTCTCCTTGATGTTTTTCTTTTTCTTGTATTCTTTCACACTCCAGTAATCCCATGCATCTTAATGGCTTTATTGCCTTCTTTAGCATAAAATAATTAAGTTTCTTGTCCAAGAAATCCTGTAAAGTTCTGAGATTCTTAAAGGTTATAATAATCTGATGGAGCAAGAACAGGAAAGTAAGGATAAAAAAAACCAAAAAAACAAAAAAAAAACTAGAGTTCATATTCAGAACCAAAATCTTTGCATGCCTTTAGCAATATGCATTCTTGCGTGGTCATGCAAGAGTAACAAAACTTTTCTCAATTCATCAGTGAAGCTTACTATTTTTTTTTTTAATCAAATGACTAGTATAAGGTTACCAGTTAACAATGACAGTTCTCAAGTACTAAATCTTTTATTACAGTTAAGATATGATAGATGACGCTCACCACATCTCACCAAATGCTAAGCATTACCTTTTCAGGACATGGTTTTGCTCATAACCATTGTCTATTTCACTGAATATAATTATAAAGGACCCAATTTTTCAATAGTGTTGATGATCTCTGCCAGAAAAGATTCAGTTTTGTCTTGAATAGTAAAGGGGTATTGATTCCAATTAAGTGGTGATCCAATCAGATCATATAGAATACATTGGCTAAGTTCTAATACTTTACAGAGTTGCTATTTTTTTTCTTTAATTTTTTAACCATTTCAACCGAGAGGTTACTGAGTGTAAAAGAATATGAAAAAAGAATGAAAAACATTAAGGAGAGAGAACAATAAAAGAACCAGAATTAAGACAAAAGATAACGATTGACATCGCAGTTAAATTTTAAATTTTTGAACATCAAAGTTAACTAGAAATCAAGTGGGTTACCATCATGATAGATATAAAAATCTACATATTTAGTTAAAAATTTTTTAAAAATCCTTGATAATGGTCAATAAAATAGCCGAAAGTGCCCGCATATATAGAGAGCTCCACAAGTGAGAAATGCATGTAAGAGAAGAAACTGCTAGCATAGAACTTACAGTTACAACTAGCATTTCAACTGTAAAATGATGAGACCTAGTTGCCAATCTAGTAGGATACTTAAATTCATAAAGTCTAGGTACAAAAAAGCAAAGTTCATCAGAACAATTGCCATGAAAATATCTGTAGAAAAGGCAGAGGGAAGCTACATTACAGTGGCATGAAAGTGACTGAAGCACAGATGCCAAATGAGGACTGATAACATTGCAGATTCTTCTTTTTTGAAGTTGTGTGACCATTGTAGGTCTTGCATTGAACTGCTGTGTCATTTCTAGTGTTACCCGCTTAGAATTTTTTTCAGTTAGAGTAAGGAGAGCTTGATTGTCAACTGGAATCAGTTTTCTAGAATGACGGGAAATGTTACCAAAGTGAAACCAAGTAAACTAATAATGGTATTTCATGAAATTTGAGATTTTATTTCTAAAAGACTGTGCACAATGTCCTTGCTACTTTTTAAACTTGTAAAACATGCAGCATTTCATATGGGTTCTATCTGCAATTCAGCAATCAAATCAAAAACATTATTCAACTTGATATTAAATATTCCTGAAAGAGGAAAGATCAGAACACCAGGTTATATGAATAACTATCAATGTAAATGTTGTTTTTAGTGGGTACATGTGTTTGAGTACACATCTTGGTTTTTTTTTTTTTTTTTTTTAAAAATTTCTTAATGTCAACTGGCCTAGAGATTGAGAAGTCCTACAAAAGAAAATGTGCTAACTTCAACAGGAATTGAACCAGCATCCCCTTTTTTCCATTAGGGAAAGCACTTAAGCTGAAGTATGCCTTGCTTCATATAATCAAATGGCAATTTTAAAGTTACAGCAAAACAAGTTACAAGAGATTATTTCCAACCTAATCTTAATCAAAAACTTGTCAGTTGAGTTTAGCCATTAGCCTAAAAACTGATTTCTTAAGCTCAGTGGGGTATACGAGATATGTCATATTTATTAACAGAAAACAGCTATGAAAAATAATGATGGGATATTAAATTAACACACACACATTTTCTTTCTTTTATCATTTCACCCCAAGCAAGACAATACACCCACTAAGACAAGGGGGTATGGAGTGTGAAAGAATATAAGAAAAATATAAACATTAAAGAACGAGAATCAAGACAGGAGGTAACGATTGACATAGCATTTAAATTTTGGAGATCAAACTTGACTGGAAAGCAAGAAGCCAAAAGAGAGTCCCACAAGTGAGAAGTGTGATAAAAGAAACTGTTAACACAGAACTTATGTTTACATCTCACCATTTCAACTGTAACATGAGACCTTACCACCAATCAAGTACTGTGCTTAAATTCATAAAGTCTAAACAAACTCCTCAAAGATGAAGAAGAGGCTTCAAACAACAGAAAACTGTTTTGACAGAAGGATACTGAGGATACTATACAGGATCCGATGGATAAATTGTTGTCTAAATTACACAAAAGTGAAAATAACACCGACATCTCATTTTAATAGATATATTTACCAAAATTACACTAAAATATTTTTAAATACTAAAGAGTAAGTTTATTCAATAAAAATGCCACTGGTTTCAACCACGACCTCCAGACAACTTTGGAATCTCCTGCAACTTTTCTTGACTGTCTCCTTGTTTAAGTTGGTGAATGCTGCTATAATCTGTGCCTTCAGTTCATCTTTGGTTTTACAAGCAGTTTTGTTGGTGTCTCACTCTACTGCACTCAACACATAATAAAGGGGGTTGCTGTCTGAGGAGTTAGGTGGGCAGATGTAAGGGGTGATGTGGTTGCAGAAATTGTCTAAAAGCCATGACTGGGTTCTCTTGCTTGTGTGGTATGGGGCAGAGTCCTGTTGCCAGACATAGGATCTTCCAGCAGCCACCCTCTTGACACAGGGCAGCACTATCTCCTCAAGGCACTTGATGTATGCCTCCGTGTTGAGTCTGAGGCCCTGTGGGAAGATGGAGGCATAAAGTCGCCATCACTAATGATCACTTCAAACACCTTTGTAATCACCATTAGACACATCCAACTCTCTGAATCCTCTGCACTGTCCTCAGATTGACACCCAAACACTCTGAAATGTTTGCATTGGGGCTTCCGGCACGAATGCCAAGCAGTACAGCATGCCAGTTCCAAATTTCTAGTGGAGTGAATTGCATCATGGTGCTCTTTTTCTCACAGAAGGTGCCCAACTGATCCTACTATATTGTGCAGTCAACAAAATCAAAAACAAACAACGTGCATACAGAAAATTAAAGATATAAAATGGCGACAATTTACCTATCGCACCCTGTAGACTGAATATATGATCACCGATGAAGTTTTAGAGAAAATTCACAGAGTAAAAACAAGAAGAACAGAGGAAAACAACGCTTATCAAGTGAGTCTGAGTCAATGAGTGATGGAACAGGGCTTAAGAGAAATATCAGAAAATTTATTAAGAGCTACAAAGGACTGGAAATTGTGGAGAGCCAAGATCACCTACATCCTGAGAGGACATAGCACATAAAGCATAAGAAGGTACCTGAGGTTCATTAAAACAAGTATTTATAGAAAAGGCACAAGGAAACTACATTATAGTAGTGGGAAAATCAATGAAGCTGAGATGCCAGGTCAGGACTAATAATATTGTAGATTCTTCTTTGGATTTTATCAAGGATCTCTAAATAGTAATTTTTCAAGTGTAGCTTGGATGTGGCACAAGGCTGAAAGTAAGGGGCACCCTGTGAGGATTGAACTAAACTAGTCTGTCAATAATTG